TGAACCAGTCAAAATCAAAATTATAGCTAAACCTCCACTTGACACAACAATCAACAGACGCATACTTCATGAATGGGAAATCCCAGACACATTCCTTCGACCCCTTCCCAAACCACCAAATTAGAGGAATAGGTGGAATATCCACCTTGCTGCATTCACTGCTGTTCACCGAATTGCCGACTTGGTTATTCTAAGTCTTGTTTCCCTCATTTGGAGGCTGTTTTAAAGCTTTTGGGTTTAGTTACTGTTGTGGCTGGGTCTGTTTTGGATTGGGCTGCTTATGGGCTGGGCTTGTATTTATTCCATAGTTTTCCTCATGCTATTATACTTATTCTACTGCATTAATAAATTAAATTTTACCTTTCAAAAAAAAAAAAAAAAGAAGGTGTAAGGAAAAGGAAACCCTAATTGTCGATAATGATGATGGATAGAGGAGGAGGAGGAGAAACTACAACCAATGTTGTTGTTGATGTTGCAGAAGAAAAATAAGATCTCATGGACATTTACTTCACCGCAGGAAGTAATGAGCACGATTGCAGCTGGTACGTAATAAAGAAGGACACAAAGCCAAATGGATATCTGTCTCTTGTTTTTCCCAATTTGCACCCAAATTATATATACTCTTACCACTCTACCTATGTCACATTGGGCTCATTCTTATACGTTATCGGTGGCTATCATACTGTTCCCACCAAAAATTACAACACGGAGGGTGACTCCATTCTCGTCAATGCACTCTTCACCAACGAGGTCCATTGCATTGACACTGTCAACCCCAAGAATGGTTGGACAAAATGTCCTCCTATGTCCGTCAAAAGATGCCATGTTCAGGCCTTTACTCTTGACGGCAAAGTCTACGTGATCGGGAGTTTTACTCTATCCATGGTTATCAAAATCGCGATTCTGAGTCGTAGAATCGCATGATTCTACGATTCAAAATTCAAAATCGATCCAAATCGTAACAAAATCGTTTAATTGGTAGAATCGGGGAGTAGAATCGGTAGAATCGTACGATTCTACATGATTCGATCAATTCTACAAATTTTATAATACACTGTCAAAGACTAACCTCAATTTGTCAAAGACTAACCCCAATTTCATAATACACGCCAAAGATTGTTATTCAATCATGAATTCTAAAGGTTTTATCACTCCGACTATAGGTGAAGAGAAGAGGGGAATTCACTGGACAATCATAGAAATCAGATTAAAATCACATAAATAGGCAAAACATGGTACCTTCGTCCTTGCTCGCTCGCCGGTAAAACTGGTCGCTAGTCTTCGTCGCTGATCGCCAGTCGTTGGTTTTCGTCGGTCGCTGCTCGTAGGTCGCTGATCACTCCCTTCTGGTCGCCGCTCGTGTCGCTGATCCCCTCTTCTTCGTCGCTGCTCCCTTCTTCTTTATTGCTCATCTTCGTTTGTGGAGGCAGTGCTCGGGGTTGCCGTCCATATTTTTCCAAATAAAAAAGAAATTATTGGGCCTTTAGCTGATTGGGTGTAAGAAGTAAATGTTTGTGCAACTGTGTTTGAGGTTTTTTATTTATCTATATATTTTTTGCTCCCCTAATAATAAAATGCTTCATAATAGAAATGTGAATGAGGTTTTTTATTTTTTATTTATCTATATAATTTTTTTAAGTGTAATTTTAATTGTGCATAATTTGGGGGAGGGTAAAAAAATTTGGGGGAAGTCGTTTTACTTATTCACGGGGCAATAAAATATCTCTTAAATGTCAAATTTTATTCCTTAGTAGGCTATGTTGGGGTTAGATATATTTGGTTGTGTGTTTTGGCCTTATTTTTGTTACATTTTACAGGTCTAATTGTTTAAAAAGTTAGTTTCAATTGTTTTTTCACAATTTGGTAGAATCTTACGATTCATGATCCGATTCTACAATTCCGATTCTACGGAGACCAAAACAATTCTGCGTAGAATCCCAATTTTAACAATCTTGACTCTATTACCTTGGATTCCTAACGGTTTCTATTATCCTTGGATGACGCCATCGATGACTGATCCGGATAGCGGTGATCCATCTCAGTCTCCGTCTCATCATAATAATTATATGGGTAAAGTACACTAACACCATCTGAGGTTTGCCAAAAGGACACCCAGATGAAACTTAGCCTATTTTGGAACAAAGGCACCCCCTCGAGTTTGATACAGATACCAAAGACACCACAGTGGTAATAAATTGACATTTTTGCCCTTTAACCTTTACATTAACCAATTTGAAGGTTGAAATTACATTTCTAACCTTTACTCACAAACCAATCATTCCTTCTTCCTTCTCCCATCTTTGTCTTAAACACATGAATTTTTTTTTGAAGTAATATAATAATTTTTGATTCAACAAAAAAAAAAAAATATATATATATATATATACTAATAATAATAATAATAATAATAATTTTTGCAGCTTTATATATATCAAACTCCTCTCCACAGCCCGTCGCCCACCGTTGCCGTCGCTCCATCTCAGTCGACCTCGCCTATCTGAGCGAAGCCGTAACCTCACCGCCGCGAGTCATTCACGGCCTAGTCAGCCAACTTCTCCACAGCCGTACCGAGCCCATCACCGTCCCGCCGTTCAGTCCCGCCGGCCGCCATCATCTGAGGCTGCAAGCTCACAATCGAACCTGTCTGCCGCAGCTCATCGCCGCTGCCGTCACTTCACTGCCGAGCATAACCATTATAAGTACTGCAGATTCAATTTCAAGCTTGTCGGTTGTTCCCCTCACCGACCGACCTCTCCACAGCTAACCCTTCCATCGCCTGTCAGACCATCACGACTGAGCCCTCCATCGGCCGATCTCACCGCTGCCATCACGTCGCGAACCACCCCATCGCGGCTGAGTGTCACACCATCGTCCGAAGCCTCCTTGCTCGCCGGCCCATGCCGCCATCTCCATAACGGAACCATCCACGGCCGAGCTATTCACCGCCGTTCCACACCGACCTAATCCTTGCGTCGCCGTGAACTCTCTGCTCTCTGGTTGTGGATCTGGTTGTCGATCGAGACAGTATTTGGTATTTGGACATTGCAACAAATTTATGTATATATATTATATATATATACACACACACACACACACACGTAATAATTTTTGCCGCAGCCGAGCAGAGCATCTCCACCGTGGTTGGGTTCATCACCGCTAAGCAAATCACCTCCACGACTCCACCATGGGTGGGTTCATCATCGCCTAGTAGAGCCTTGCCGGACAATTTCACGGTTGCGAGTAATATATATATATATATATATATATATATATATATTTGTTATATCGGTGTATAGAGAGAGAAGGAGAAGGGCAATTAGGTCATTTAATTATTTTTGATATTTTATTATTAAAATTAATCAAATAATGTAGGGCAAATTAGACTTTTCACATATTTTTAGGCTCTGTTTGGCTGTCAAATATAATAAGGGGGTGTCTTTGCGTCCTTTTAACAAACATAAGGGAGTGTTAGTGTACTTTATCCTAATTATATCAAGTTTTTGATCCCTCTGAAAAGGAGGCAATGTGGAGAGAAGCTTTTTCGGCATGCCCGATGATTATCTGATAGAGCATCGTACAGATGCGTGTCTGATTCGACCTCGACCTAGCGGAGGAGGAGCATTGGATCTTTTCGTGCAAACTTTTAGCGGCCACACAACAAAGAGGCTGTTTAAATATGATTCTGATGATCAATCATGGAGTCTCTATGCAAATGAATTTGGTCCCTATCGGTGCCAAACTCTTGTTTTTGTAGATGACATCTTGTATTCCTATAACAGCTGCCAATCTCCGGTTTCAGATCGCTTCAGAGAAGCTTTCATGCTCGCAAAGGGGTCCATTCTCTGTTTCAATGTCAACAAACCCGAAGCCGAACCAAAAAAACTGATGGGCTTAGAGGATTTCCTCCCCGATCCTAACTATTATGGTTTTTATCCAACAGCTATTTTGCTCCATCTAAACGATGGCACAAAGTTTTGTCTGTTATGGGATGAACATCAGATAATAAAAGGATCGAAAGGAGGGGACGGGGATGCATTCGTCGTTACCTGCTTAAAGTTTACAGTGTCTAAGAGGCCTTCGGGTGGAGAAGGAGAGTTTGATTTAGTTGCCACTCACCCGTCTATGTCAAGTTACTACTACGTGGATGCCAGATACTTAATCAACAGTATTGCAATATAATTGCTATTTTAAAATTATAACTAGCTTTACTATTTATGGAATAAGTTTTATATTCAATTTATATTCATTCCATTCTAAATTTTAAATTTAATAGTAGAAGGGAAGAATGAATTCCGGAAAGCAACACCAATGCTCAAAATTGGATTCAGCAGGCTAGTGAAAGATTCAAACTTAATATTGATGCATCCTTTCCTGGACGCGCGCCTACAATGACTTCCTTTTCCTATCGATGATTGTTTTCATTTTCCTATCGAATGGACGGATGCAATCGTCTTTACCTGCTTAAAGTTTACTGGTGCCCAAGCCTTCTCATCCTTTGGGTGAAGGTGAAGATGAAGAGGTTGGCTTTGTTGCCTCTCATCCGTCTATGTCAAGTTACGTACCACGTCGAGGGCGAGGACTTAACCAATGCCATTGCAATTAAAAAGAGTTAGCTGAGTGCACTCTGGTAAGGTCAGAATCAAATGTACACAACCTTTACCTTCACTTATAGTTATTCAATCTCTTTCTAGTTTAAAATGATTTATATTAGCATTGTTAATTATTTTCTTGTGGCATTGTAAACAACCTGTTTGAAGGACTAATAAAACTTCAATTCCAATGTAGCTTTATTGCAGTATAGAATAAGTGGTGGCACAAACAAAAAGCACTCCTACAAGAGGAAATTAAATGAAACTGCAAATGATATATCAGTGCAGGCTTCATTAGTCTATGCACTTGTAGTATTTCAATTAAAGATTGTAAAATCACAGTAACAATAATGAATCCAAAGAGATGTCAAATCTAAGAGCAAGACATGTTGGGAATTAATTGAGATTTATAATTTGAAGACAAAATTAAAATATATTGCACTTCTTGCAGAGTGACCAATGAAAGTCTTCAAACACTTTTTTCTTTAAGAAACTCAAAAAATTGCCAAAAAAAAAAAAAAAGTCCAAATCTAATAATTATATGCAAACTTCTAATTACAGGCAGGAACATGAATAGGAATATGAATGAATACAATAGAGAAAGGAGCAACGGTTATTGGGTCAAACAGGTTTGTGTATATAGGTTCCAAGGAAGGGATAATCCCAGAAGAATTTACAGTGAGTATCTTCCCATTTAGGAGCACTGTTTGGCTGTGCAGATTCTTATCTTTTGATGTTAAATGGTATTCTTCTCTTGTATTTCCACTGATTTTAGCATATCGAGGTATCCGAGCAAACTTTGTTCTTTGACCTAGGTGTATTTGTGGCATTCCTGATGCATGATTTGTTGTAGCATTTGCAATTGAAACACCAGCTTGAACTATAGTATTACCATCTAGATTGATCAAAAGCAATGTGATTCCTTGCTGCAATATATAAAGCCAATCAATTAGGCAAGTATACAATAATAAAATTACAAAAAGGATACATACAAACAAAAGCATGTTATGTGTGTGTGTGTGTGTGTGTTTGTGTGTGCAAGAATTGTGGATTTGAATGTTGATTCCACTCACAGATGGTTTTGAACAGTGAGCGTAAGCACGTAATTTATTAGTCCCCGTGAAGTTGGTTGATAGAACGTTTCTTCCCATCAAACGGTGCCAAAGCAAAGCACTGCGTAATAAGATCAATAAGAACATCAAAAGGGCATAGAAGTATATTTTCATACAAATTAAGGTTCAAAATGTTTGGAAATAGAATTAACAACATGGATGTCGAGAACAACCTGTAGTAATCAGGATTTGGAAGAAAGGTAGTAGTGTTGAGTAGGCCATAGTTTCCTCCTATCAGTGTTTGTCTACAATATGTTTTGGTATCATAAGAGGCTGCCATTCCAAGCTGATCCAAGTACCTGTTTGGTTAAAATAAATACCGTTACTCCTTCACGGAATATCCAAAAACTAATCAGAAACAAAGAAGGGTGTTGAGGCAAATCATAGCTAACTCACCAAAAGCTAAAAGCAAACGCGTTACTGACAAGATTATGGCCGCTGTTATAAGCTCCTCCAGCTTCACCAACCCATGCTGTCGTCGAACTCCCAGAATTCTTTAAAATGTTATGAAGGCTTCTGAAGGGCTGACATCCACCATCAAGATAGGTTGGATCGAGTATTTTTTCTACTAAGTGATCGTCAACACCTATGTATGAGAAAAAGAGAAGTGTTTTTCGGTTAAATAATCAACGGAAAGTAGAGGAAAGTGCTTTTTTTTTCATTTGTGAATATACCTGGACCAAGGTTATAAATGTGGTGTGTAACCACTTGAAGAGAGTTGGGTGTTTTATCTACAAATTCAGTGAACCAAGTAGCATCAAAGAACCCTCCTGGTCCAAGGACTAGAGGCTTAACCTGAAACCCTGTGTACACATTCTGCACCAGTTTTTGGAGAGAGGTAATGTCTGATGTGTATTGAGCAGCTGTAATACTTGCTCCAATTCCACTTCCACTCAATTCATTTCCTGACAAACCATACAAATTTTGCATAAAAAATTAAGATATATCTGAAGCAGAAAATAATAGACAATGCGGCAAAAACACATTTTTACAGGGAAAAAAAAATCTAAAATGAAATATATGAGATTTTATTTATTTATTTTTTTTGAAAAAAAAAAAAAGGTTGTCTAGAACCTCTGGCTTAAGCAAAAGAAAGTATAATCTTTGGGTCAGACCCTGCATACCTCAACAGAAGCATGTCTTAATTGAGCTGCACCATAGGGCCAATTCTACAAAATGACTAGGGTTCTTTATATTCTAGTAGAAAGGTGCAAAGACAGATTGAATAGAAAGTTGAACAAGTTAGTTGCTATTTCAAATGTCCATTGCGGTAAGAATACTTCACAGATCTGTTTTACTTGTTGGATTGAGATATTAGGTTTTCTGTCACCTTCCATTTTACATAAAAAGGCCTATGAGTAGTATGAGGTCCAATCAATCAAAAGTTCAACAAAATGTTCTACCCTAAGTCACACAGAGTGAGTGTGGGAGTTAATGCGAGAGCAGGAACGCGAAAACGGTAAAATCTAAGTCACACATAGTGGAATTGGGAGCAAGAGTGTACGAGAGCTGTGGAGCGTGAGAGCGACACCCATTTAAAAGAATTATGTGACTTAGGTTATACCTCAACGCAATATATGAATCAAGACCAAAAATCTTCTGTTAGCTTCTCTTGTTGCAATCAAGCTTCCACATCAGTTATCATATTTAGTGTCAATTTAATTTCATTGCTGAATTGATACTTGAGGAGAAAAGTACTGCTAAATCAGATAAATTCTCTCTTCAAAGTTAAATGTACTTGGTTTTTACAGCTCTGTCAATTTTAGTAGTAAAAAAAAGAACAGTAAAAATCTGAATCTTTTTTGCCGGCATCAATCATAGTAAGTGAGTTTCTTACCAAGCTCCCAGCCGTGGATGGTATAGCCCGAATTGACAGTATATCTTATAAGAGATTCTGCATTGCTGGAATTCCAAGCTCCCACAACAGAATTATCCGAACCAATTGTTCTGCCGTATAACGCATTCAATCCAAATATGATCTTAGCTCTGTATATCAAAAGTACAAGCAAAAATAGATTTAGAACTAACTACTAGGAAAATATAAATGCATCGATACGAATAATCTTAGTACTAAAGATATAGTTTTACCCGGCCTTTTTGAAGAAAATGTTCAGTTCGTCCCACCGGGACATGGGTAAGCAACCATTAGTGAAGCCAAACCTCAGTGCACTATTTTTAACAAACTGAGTACATGGTTGTTGATCACCCCTGCTTTGGTATATTACTTTATCTTGCAAAGTACCTCCTAATCTTATTTTCAAGGGAGAAAAAGCTGCAACACACTCAAAGTTTAGTTGTAATGTGGTCTTTTAGAGAAGATATATATATATATATATATATAAAGCCTTTCTAGGATTTAAGAAAGGTTTATGTACCTTGGATTGCCTGTAATAAAATTGGGTTGCTAATATCCTACAAAAAAAATAATTAGAGTAAGGAGATATGATATGCTTAGGAGTCATCCTTGTGTTCATATCAACTATCAGCCTCAAAATCATGCTAAAAACATTGCAAAGAAAGAAAACAACAGAAGAGTGACATTTTCAACCGAAAAAAAAAAAATAATAAATAGAAGAGTGACATTAATTGCTAACGACAGATACGGAAATTTATTTATAAAACTGTGAAAGATCAAGGATGGGAAAGACTTTCTTCCTTGTCCTTTATTTATTTATTTTTGGTTAGAATTAGAGGCAGACATTCAATAATTACATGTCCTGTTTGAACATCAATTGTGGTGAAAACTGTATTTTTGAAGAAATCGAGGTTCATCCCCACAAAAAATTGAATCTTATATTAGCTCTTCTTGTTAAAATAACCTAGAGTAATACATTATATATGCAACTTGCAAAAAAAGAAAAATGGAAGTTCCTTGGGAAAGTACATTAACTCGAAATTATATGTGCCATGGATATACTAAAGTACTTTTATTTAATTGTTCAGATAATGCTGCTCTCTGTTCACAAGAAGATAGTTCAAGAAACACAAATCTAGGAATTTCACAAATTTTCTTGGCAACCAAACAGAGGTAATTAAGACTCCCTCAAGTATTAATTAATTATATTTAATTGACAGATTGTTCAAGGAAAATAAATCTAGGAATTTCACAAATTTTCTTGGCAACCAAACAGAGGTAATTAATAGCACCCTCAAGTACTTTCAATTAAACATATAATGGCACCCAAAAAGACATGAATTCCTGGTATTTGTTTTGGTATTTACAACAGAGGGAAAGCTCAACTGACCTCAGCAAATCATATCTGATACAAAACTTCATTATATGTTTAATTGAAGGACTGTTCAAGGAAAATAAGTCCGGCAATTTCACAAATTTTTCTTGGCAACCAAACAGAGATAATGGCACCCAAAAGCAAATCATATTTGATACAAAACTTGATTAGAATATATATAAAGTGGAAGAAGACGAGGAGAAAAAGCTAACCAGATTGAGAAGAGAAGCTCTGCCCCAACTACATGTTCCATAGTCACATTTGTCAGGAGGCCACCAATCCAAAGTTGCACAAATGAAGTCTTCATCTATCATACCAATTGAGACTGTTCCATTTATATACACAGTGCCTTCAACAGTGCTTCCCTGTGAAACCACAGTTTTTAAGCTATGGCTGGCCAAATGAAGCCATAAAGATAACCATAGAAGATTATACAGAGAGCCCATTTTATAAATCATTATATTTTGTTGAATCTCCCTTACTCTAAGGAAGCTATGGGAATGCATGAATGGTATATATATATATATATACATTGAGAATCTGTGTGTGTGTTTGTGTGTGTGTGAGAGAGAGACTGACTTTAACAGAGGAGAGAATATGAAAACGTCATACAATGTTTTTGTTGTTTAGGAAGCAACCATATATTTAAACAGGGCATTTTTGGCTTTTTCTCCTATACAAAACAAATATTGTACCATGGGTTTTGCTTGGGGTAAATTAAAAATCCATTACTCAAGTTTCCACCAATTGGAAATTCTCTCCTCCTTTTCTGAAATACAATATATTTAATGTGAGGTTCACGTGATATCATCTCGTCTGTTCCTACTCCTACCGTTCACATGTTTAGCAATAAGAGTTTTTCACTTTTTAAAGAATTTCTATACAAATTAGGCTGGTATTTCAAATCCAAATTAAATTTTCCCAAGCTTGGTCTCGAGTATGACTTAAATTTCTAACGAAAAATTACATTAACCTTAACAAATAACTATCGCAACACTCATGGTGGGTGCATTCCCAACAAGAGGTTATTTGAAGCTATTCAGAGAAGAAAATTTCGGGTGTTGGACAACTAATATCCAGCTCAAATATAGTAATTTGAGCGTAACTTAAATTATAACTTAATTTTGTACACAATAATAAATAAGGATGCCTATATATATATATATATCTTTGAACACAATACACAATACTACAAAAATTATTAGAACTGTGTTTTATTTTTTATTTTTATTAATTTTTTTAGTCAATCTTTCTCTGTTTCACTCTTCTATATTTTTTATGATGGGAAACTTCCTATTTATTTATTTTTAAAAAATAATTTGTGGAAGTTTGGATAAGTAATTGAATTCTAACCTGAATATTTTTGTTATTTTTCTTTACTTTTTTTTCCTAACCACCACCAGATGATTCTAGTTGAAGAGGCAAGTTGGGTTAAACTGAGCAATGAGCATTGAAGATCTGAAATTATTCTAAATTAAGTCTGAGCTTAATTTTCAACCTGCCCAAATAAAACCTCTACCATTACACAATTATTGGGACTTGGGAGTTCCTGAGACTCAGACCAAGTACCAGGAAGATACAGAGTTGAAGACTAGAAAACCAAATCACATTTCAATAGTTGCAACCTGCCTTTTTCATTAATATTTTAATAATCTGATGGACTTAGAAAATAGAAGAAGAAAATAATGCTAAGGTTATGTAAATATATTTAAAGAGGGATATATAAAATTAGGCAAGTGCATAAAGAAGGATGTTTCATTGAGAAAGCTGCCTTGTTTAGTAGCAAAATTCTTTTTGTATTGTAAGATAGGATAAATTACACTTATTGTATCTAACGTTCCATTAATACATATTTACTTTCTCTTTTGTTTTTCAAATTACACTGATATCCCCTTTCAGATTGCCGGTAATTATGTTTCTGATCTTATATATATTGTATCATATTGCAATAAACATGTATTCCAATTATAGAATTGGAATTTGAAAGTTATGAAATTGTTGACATCAATGTTTTTTGTCGTTAATTATGTTGACCATTAAAGAAGGAGAGTATATGTTATTCAGATACAAATCTTAAAAAAGGTAAGTGTAATTTGAAAAAAAAAAAAAAAAATAGGTCAGTGTGTATTAACGAAACTTTGCAGAGGTTTATGGATGAACAAATTAAGTACAATATTGGTTAACCTTAACAACAACTATTGGAAAAAAGGACTGTCAGATCTTAGGTCAAGAAAAAGTACCTCTGACATTGAGTGGTTGCTGTGATCCAATCCAATTGGGTTGGTGACTGGTTCTATTGTCAATATGGTCCCACTGGAAGGTGCAGGGATTCCACTGGATAATCTTTCCCTTTTTTTTTTTTTTTTTATCCAAATAGGCCATTGAATAATTAATTTGAAATTTTCAAGAATTAAAAAAGAAAATTAATTTATAAAATACCATCAATCAAAATTATGCTTTTTCGAATTAAGTTTCATAGAATAATTTTCAAAGAACTGACAAAGAACAAATTTCCAAAATGTTATATGGTTTTTAGTTATCTAAAAATATAAAATTGAATCAAATAATTGATGACATTATTGAGATTAATATAAGGTTTAGATGAGCAACCAAAGGCTATATAACCAAAAAAATAAATTAATCTCAATGATTTATTAAAGTATTGCATGATTCGTATATATCTCACGATTTGTACCTGCTCACAAAACTATAATATGTCAAACAAATAAGGACAAACAATTCCACCAAACACATTGCTAAATGAAGAAAAGCACTTCTAACAAACCCTTCATACAAGTCACTTTTTGAGGCCAGGGAGGTCTTTCTCGTGTGTCATGATCATCTTAATGTAGTCTGTATCTTAGTTTAACTTATTTTGCTTGACTTATATATATATATATGTATTGAGGCATATTATCAGCATCACCATTATAATTAGTTTGGTTGTTTCTATCATTTAGTTATCACCTTGAAAGGCCATAATGTAATAGTATCTATTTGACTGAATAAGACAACAGAAAATCTCTTATGAGGTAAGGTTAGTTATGTTCTAATTTTATATTTTCTTTAATGGATGTATATGGTTGGCCAAGTCCTTGTATTTTATTTTATTTAAACTCTGCACAATATAATAATATATGTTAAAGTTTGAAAAAAAAAAAAAAAAAATTGTTTTGAGAAAATGCCATATATATGTATATATTTGGACATAGTACATTATGAATACTAAATGGGGTAACTTGGGTAACTTAATTGGTACAGGCACTCTTTTGAGTCGTGTGGAAGCTTGATTCGACTCCCTTTCCTCCTTGTTAGATGAAAATAAAAAAAATCGTTAAATTAATATTTTTTTTGGTAAATAAATAATTATGAATACTAAATGCATAGGTTAAAAAGGTTAAAAATTTTAAGGATGTTGAAGGAAAAAGGTGATAAAAGTTGCTCTCTCTCTCTCTCTAATCTCTTGAAATTTGTGATCATCCCATGTGCATAAAACTTGTTATATATGGGGAGTAGTGAAGAAAATTTGAAATTAGATGGTTGAAACTTGAAAGTTTCAGTATCAATATAGGTCACCTAATTTGTGTGATGGGGCAATGAGTCAATGAATTTGCACTCAAATTTTGGTTTGATTTTTGAGACCCAATCACCTAATTTTAGATGCTTTAATAATAATTCAGTATTAGCTAATATTTAGATTTAAAAGATTCTTATGCCTAATTGCTTAAAGATTCACAAAATATTTTCATTTTGACTCTATTTATTTCGACGTAAAATATATATATTTTTATTTTTATTTTTTCGATGTTTGGTAAAGGCCTATATCGAGGTTAAGAACGAGTTCATCGAATGAGACATGTAAAATAATTATCGAAAATTGATACGTAAATTATTTTTGTTAAATTTTAATAATTTTTTCTTCGTAAATATTTTACGACAATAAAAAATTAGAAAATAAAAAAAAAATTAAAAATATTTTACATTCAAACAAAGAGAGCCTACACACGTCTCTTCCCTGATTTCTTTTTGAGAAATAAGAAACTGATACCGCTGAGCCATTGCCTGTTGGTGAACCAAACTAAATTAATGGGGGCATGATTTGTTAATTGTTATTACTGAACCAATATCCAAACCACAGTTTATACAATTCTTATACGCATTTAGAAAATTAAAATAGAATAATTTATTAACGAAGCAGAAGTTATTAAAGTTCAAGAATGAACTGTATAAAGATAACTACCAAAAATCAACTAATTCGGAAGTCAATTTGACCACTAACAAAAATTCTGAAAAAAAATTATCTGTCTTTCTTTAATTTGGAACAAAAAAATAATAATAATGTATATCCCAAGCAATGGCTGGTGATTAGTGATTGTTGGCCATTTTTAATTGGGAATGGGACTTTGGTGGGTCAAAATGGACACAAAACTGCACCGAGTGTGAACCTCTCTGCCTTTGACCTTTGGACGAAATAATTCTGGATGATGCATTCACAATCTGTTACAGTTTTTCAAGTCTACATGCAAATTTAATTAGTTAATAAATATAGAACCTATTTGTAAAGATTTGTCTTCTTGGACTTGACACCATTTAGGTCCAAGCCAACCAAGGGAGGTTTGAATCATACTTAGCTTACCCAAGACAGGTTGCATCTCTGTGTCTGGATAAGCAAATACTGAAGTCAAATGTTATAAGCGTTTGAAAAGTATGTGTATATGCTGTGTTGTACAGTTGTTCAATCAAAATTAATAAAAAATATAAATTTCAAACCTCAGAACACTTGTAACCGTGTCGATTTTATTGGAACATTTTCTGTCTACGCTTTCGAGGTAATAACTGATTCTCTTGTTAATAAGAAATTATTCGTTGTGATTATTATAATATTGACCTGATGTAATAGACAACTACATATAATTCATCAAAGCAAAATAAACCTACAATAAAACTAAATCGAGTTGAACTAATCATATACGAAAAAGCTCCGGCATAAATGATATAAAAAAGTAAGGTATTGTTCAATTCGGTTCGATCCAATATTTAGAATTGATGAAGACCAGACCGATTCCGACATGTGTACGGGCAGTTAGGCACGCACGCAGAGATAGAGAAGAAGCAAATGGGGAAGGATGGATGTGGAGACGAATCCTATTGGTGGAGCGTCATGTGGGAGATGGGGTGGACTCGGAATGTTTTACTTGGGGAGATAAATTAGTCATATTAAAATTAAGTTAAAGAAAATTGTAATTTTTTCAACAATAGAATCTAAGAAAATTATATAATAAATTTGAGGTATTTTATAAAGCACCAAGCCACCAGGTACATAAAATGAGAGAAATAATATGGACATTGTTTGAATATTTGAACTTCCCTTCAAATTGGGGTCCTTTCTTTCTGGCCCACTGAAATGGACAAAAAAGGTGTTATTTGGTCCTGTAAGTCTGTAAGGGCTCAAAGTCCCACTTCTTTGGGCCTCTGGCCTTCCATTGTACATACCATTATATATATATATATATATATATATTATCTCCTTATATTATTAGATTTTCTTAAAAAAAAAAATTCTTATATTATTAGACCTCAACTAATGGTAAAACCCCAAAATTATTATTTTCTTATATTATTAGACTTCCTTCTTTTTTTTTTTTCCTTTATTAAGGCCCTAAAATATTATTTCTTTATATTGTTCGACTTTCTACACAAATTATTTCTTTATATTATTAGACTTCGACTTATGGTAGAGATTTAATAGTGGCGGAAAATAATTTTAGGGATTCATTTTAAAACTTTTCATTCCACTCACTCCACTCCTAATTTCTATTCTTATCATCTCTCTATTTATTTTTTCTTCCCCCCAGTCCGCATTTTTCAACCATATTAATTATTCAATATGCATCTAACCAATAATGTTTTGTTTTTTTTTTTGAAAAAAATAAGAAAATAATATTCAGACATACTTGTTAGGCTTAGGTGACAAAGAAAATCAATTTAGCCTATTAATGTTTTTTTTTTTTTTTTTAAAAAAAAAAAAGTATAAGAAAATGATATTTAGACGTACTTGTTAGGCTTACTTGACAAATCGAATCAATTTAGGCTATTAATGGTTTAAAATATGGGGTCTCACTTCATATAATTAATAACTTTAATTATTTCACTTTGACAAATAAACTTAATGAATGAACCTAATATCATTACTTAAAAAATAAATCGATTGATAAAAATCTTCATTATCTAATAAAAATATTGAAATATATAGAGTTTGAGAGGATTGATAAATTAAGAACACTGAGAAAAACTTCATACTACTAATTTCAAGAGATATGTCTCATTAAATAGTGTTAACGAGCATAAAATTGTCACTTGTAAAATAAATAAAATTTAAAAATATAAAAGGAATAAAATCATATATCATTAAAAATTTAATAAATGGGCATAATGATTTCTTATTAGAATGTTACATTGTTGAGTCCAATCAAAATTTATGTTCAAAATTTGTCATAATATCTTATTATTTGGTTCACTTTTCTTAATTAGCCGAGTGTTTTGATTGAAATGTATCACATAATTGAGGGCAATCTACCAAAAATTATAAGTCCTCGTCATTATTTAATATAATGAGATCCGTTTGCAGCCCGATTAATTATGATTGTAATGAAGTTTTTGTGATATTAACCGTGGACCAAAGTTACCAAACAACTTAAGGATTGGACGCATAAGCCAACTCTTAATTAGGTAAAATATATATATAAAAAAAGAAAAAAAAAAAAACATTGATTGATTTTTCTATAATAACAAAGCATCTTTGACATTCCTGGCAAATCAAAATTATGAAAAAATAAATTAATACTTAGAATCTATAAATGAATGAAAATTAATATAAGGTCAATCAGTGCTTTTAAGTCTTCCTTTAACGTTTTTTTATCCCTGCAACAATACCTCTCTTTTTTTCTTGTTATATATATATTTGGTAAGTAGAATTAATTGAGGATTTTATAAGTTCAAAACTATATTTTGCTCTAAAAATTTAGCATTTAGCATTTATTTCATTCACACACATTATATTATATAAGAGATTGCCTTATTTTCCAGGAAGTAACACCTAGGAGAAGTGAATTCAGAGTCCCAATTGAAGAAGAAATCTGTTGACATTTTTCTTCAATGGCAGTCCTCAAGTTTTTCATCGCAATTCTTCTTTTGAGCCTCATTAACAAGGGTAAGACATTTTTACCCAAATGACTAGACTATGAACTCTCTCTCCCCACACACACAAACACACACAGCATATTCATTTTTTTGGGCATGTTTATTACTATAACCCAAGACTGAGTTTAAGAAGATGTATCAATTAGAAAATTATAATTTTTTTCAACAAAAAAAAAAACAAAAAACCAGGGGCTAAGAGGCCATCACACACACACACACACACACACACAGATATATATATATATATAATTTTTTTTTTTTTTCCGTAAGCATTTCCGCCTACGCTGGGATAGCAAAAACGATCACAATCACATTTTTTTACATGAATAATTTTTTTTATATTATTTTTTCGAATGTTCAAGAAAAAGCACACACCCACAAATATATACCATTTGAATTTTGGGCTAATGACTATGTATGATTGTATGTGAAATTTAAAGGGCTGTTCTTGTCTCCAAGTTGACTAGGATGTTATTTGATAAAACTAAATATTAAGAATTGAATTTTTAATCTATAAATTTAAATTTCTAACTGTGAATTGAGTATTTCATTAAATTATTTTTAATTTTAAGTGTGAAATTACTATCACTTAAAATTTTATTCTATTTTAAGTAGGGACGGGTCTATTAAGGACTGAATTTTTTTAATTTACAAAATTATTTATAATTTTTGTTAAACTTTAAAAAATATGTCCAATTAATTTTTGACACGGTCGCTATTTTAAGCTAAACTTTTTCTTTAAGTGTTATATTTATCAGACTAGTGGCCTAGCGATACCTCAGTAGAGACATGTATGTGAGTACTAATTAGGGAAAAAAAAAAATTTACTCATGTCCCAAATTAACATCCCTTTTCGGGAATCTAACTTTTTATAAATGATTAATTTTTAATATTTTTTTTAAGTGTTTCTTTAAGTGTTATATATACTTATCTGTTCTAAATTAAACATTTCTTTTTGGGAATCTAACTTTTTAAGATGATTGATTTTTAATATTTTTTTATTATATTACTTGTGAATGAATTACCAACTATGTCAATAGTGGTGCTGAAGATTAAATTGGTAATATTACGTGTATATTTAATTTGGGATATACGGAGTGTATATATATATATATATATATATATATATATATTACCTATTGTTAAAAATTTTATGTCCTAATTAATTGTGTAAAATATTGCAGGACTATGCGCATGTAAGGTGAACGATAAGATCCAAATAAGTACAGTACGAACAGGGAAAGAAGTAAGTGGTAAACCAGAATGGGGAGTGAAAGTGATCAATAACTGCAATTGTGCTCAGAAAAATATATTTTTAAGATGCAAGGGATTTCAGAGCGTTGAAAATGTTGACCCTTCACTCTTTTTACCAAGTGCTGATGGTCGATGTCTTGTAAAAAATGGCGAACCAGTGGCACCTTTTGACAACGTCAGCTTCAACTATGCTGGGGACCCCTTTTTTTTCCTTCCTTTGTCATCAGTAGATATGTGCAGTTGATCGATGGATCCATTTTATGAAATATTGCTAGCTCAATATACACATATTGAGTAATGTTAGCTTTTTAATAAATTAATTAATAGGTTTGAATTATTTTGGGATGTGTGTGTGTGTATATATATATATATATCACTGTTTGATGCATTATTGATGTTAGAGCACATGGCTATAAATCATGGAGTTCGAATTCCTCCTCGCTCACAATCGGACCAAAAGGGAAGGACCTTTTCCTCTTGGGGGTAGGGGAATCATGATACCAAAAGTTATGGAACTTGGGTGTGAGGCTTTTGTCAAAGTCCGGGTTGTCAAGTGTGAGAATGGCAATTTAAAAGTTAGTATGATAAGAAAAAAAACAAGCTATCAAAACTAGGGTCAATTACACAACAATATGAGCTTCCGTTGCATACATATGTAATTGAAAATTGACTAAACGTATTAATATTCATTCAAATAATTTTTACTCAACAATTACCGAGAAATAATTCTAAGGAGGTTCAGATTTTCGACCTTGTTTTGAGAATGTGAAATGAAAGTTTTTACCATTAAACCATACCTGTAGAGTTGACGCGTACCAAAATTAAATTATGAGAATTACATTATAATGCGTTCCAATTTTATTTGTGTTTTGTTAAAACTTTCCCTTCCGTTAGAATTCTCATGCCAACAATGAAATATGACAAATATAAAAGTATAAAATTACCCTTCACACAAGTTGCTCTCTTTATATCTCTCATTAGCAACAATTTGCCCTTTCTCAGTGAAATATATTTGTATCTAATCAAAAACCCAAACACTTAAATTATACTCACACCCCTTCAGAGTTTAATGTTACATGGATAAATATTTTTGTTTTGACTTTCAATCATATTTGAAAAAGTAAATTCTGCGACTTGTAGTGACGCCAAAGTACATTTTAGGTGTACAATTACTATGCTACCCTTTTAACTTTGTGTTGACTTTATTTTATGTGAAAAATGACTTAACTACCCAAAAAAATCCTATTTTAAATTACCGAATACCCTAAAATTTAATCCTCTCCCCTCTTTTACCAGGAATATATATATATTCCTGGTAAAAGAAATGCCCTATGACATCTACAAGAAACAGAACAATAACACAAAAACCCTAACTAAAGCGAACAATTGAACAGCCCAACAAAACAAAAGAGCCACAAAACCATGTGGAACCATAACAAAATGACAACTAAGCATTGCCCTCCATAGAAGATAAAAAGGCAAACCCAAATTGTAAACCAACTATCCAAGGAGACTGCCAAAGAGCCAACAAAGGCGGAGAACAAGGACCACGTGAACACATATGCACCTGACAAATATATCTTGTCTTGCAAACACAAGCACCACTAACCACGGCATAATTGCCTTTGACAGAGTCACTTACCAGGTGACTAACTCACGCACAAGCAGTAACATCATAACCCTGGGATCCACCATCGTAAACCCAACAGTACAGCATCCATCCTGTGCAAATGCAAGGATACTAGCCAGACAACAAGAAACCAGTATAACACATTTGAAATCAGCAATGGATAGCTTGATAGGAGCAACAATGAACACAGTACTTTCAAACCATAGCTTCCACAAGGGAAACAACCACACCCAAATAAAAGCGGCAAAAAAGTGCACCACCGCATCCTTAGTAGCATTTAGGAAGAGGGTATAAACCTTATCAAACAAGCACCCAATGGTTCCCGTAGAAACATTGAAAACCTCCCCTGATCGTCGAATTAAAAGTTGCATAACCACAGTATAAAGCTCCATTCCCTACCAAGGAGGTTTCCAAACTTGAGGCAAATTTGTTGACACCCTTTTTGGTAAATTTTGTATTAATTACATGGCAACCAATTTGGATATAAATTGACACGTGGAAAAGGTTACAGAAGCTACATTCAAATGCAAAGGAGATTGAAGCATTTGAATTATTTAATAGATAGGGATTATAATTTTAGTATTTATCTTTTAGTTGATGTAAGTTAAATATTTATGTTTATCTTTAGGATTAATTTATTTTAAACTTGTAGTTAGTTGGTTTATCTATATGATTAGTTTATTTTGAATTTATAGCTAGTTGTAATAGAGTTGTAATTCAAGTAAAGCACTTGCATACAGGAGTTTGTTTCTATGTTTTATTCTATGAATAATCAAAGAGGCATGCTGAGATAGAGGTCCAGCACCCTCAGAATTATTATATTTATTTGTTTGCTTTCTCAAGCACTTTCCCCAAATAGCATCCTTGCTATCTCTATCTCTCTCTATCTATTTCAGTCTCGTTCTATTTTTTCCCCTATATCTCTGTCTCTCTATCTCTTCTTCATATCACTTTCTATATCTATTTCTCTCCCCTTTCTATTCTCTCATTATTTACTATAAATTATTCACTATAAAGTCCTTTTAACTAAGGCAATTAGAACTCATTAAGGAGTATATTTGTTTTCTTCCTCCTGTAATCGCCTGAAAGTCAACCTTCCAAAAGAAACTGTAAGTTGACAAATCACACTTGAACCATATATTTGGTTCTGGCACGCCCGCACTACATCAATTTGAGATCGGTTCTAGCTAGCTGATTTTAGTGTCAACATTTTTTGCACGCCCGGTGGGACCTCACTAGGTAAGTGATTTATAATAAAAAATATGCAGTCGGCTTCTTAGCTGATGTACCAATATTCTAATCAGATATATGGTCGGCTAGATGATTATCAGCAAGTTACAGCCGCTGATTATCGGCATGTTCCAATAACTGATTATCGGCATGTTTCAACAGAAGCCGATTATCGGTAGACGCTAACAACAACTGATTATTGGCATGTTCCAACAGAAGCCGATTATCGGCAGATGCCAACAACAACTGATTATCGGCATGTTCCAACAGAAGCCGATTATTGACAGATGCCAATAGCCGCTGATTATCGGCATGTTCCAGCAGCCGATAATCGGCATGTTCCAGCAGTCGATTATCAGCGTGTGGTAAATCAGCCGGTTGCTCATGTATATCAGCCACTTTCGGTATATGGGGGGCAACCGATAACTAATCAGACATATGGCTTGCCAGATTATCATCAATCGCACTCGTCAGTAAATCAGCCACATATAGAAATCAACCAGCCTTGCCGATATCGGCAGGAAAGTTTAGCTCAAAATCAGCAGCAGAGTTGGCCAGAATACTACCAACCACCAGTGGCTGATCAGTTGCTAATGGTAGAGCAAGTTCAATTAGTTGAGGAAAATGAAGAGGAGAACCAGTTGATCGGCCCAGGCGGATCTAATGTGGCAGAATCACTTCTATTATGCAAATGCTTGAAGCTATTATGCAGGGAATGGAAAGTCGTGAGACCCATTTGGGAGCTCGCATAGACGGGATGGGTCTAAAGGTTGATGCTCGCATAGACGAGATGGGTCTAAAGGTTGATGCTCGCATAGACGGGATGGGTCTAAAGGTTGATGCTCACATAGACGGGATGGGTCTAAAGGTAGATGCAGTATCAAATCAATTATCAGTTATTTAAAACTGATCTGATCAGGCCGAAGCTTTAAATGTCCATGAGTCATTGGTTCAACATATTTCTTCATCAAAAGTGGTTATTCCTGAAGAACCAAGAACAACGATGACAGGAGTTATGCTGCCAAATCTGACTCTCGGCATGCCAATCAGCATAATGCCAAATTCGACACTCGGTATCACAATCGGCAATGTGCCGAACCAAACTCTCGGCATGCCGATTGGTAACCCATCGATAGTATCAGATCCGCCAATAATAACTACTATGCCGATGTATCATCTGCTAGTAAATCACCAGCAGAATCAGAATGTGAACCCCCACTGATGCAGCCGATTCCTCCTTTAAGAGATTAGCAAAAATGGGGCAATCAGAACCAAGGAAAGGTCAATCCAATAATACCACCGGCGGCTGCTGGGGGGCATGTACATGCAAATCCACAACGAGAATGGGTTGACCCGTATGCTCCACTTCAGCCTAACAATGATTTTGCGACTCTCAACGGCAAAAAATATCAGCCGTATGATCGGCACGATTATTATCCATCACCAGCAAAATTTCAGCCACCAACATCAGATTATCGGCAAGTTTCAGCAGCCGATTATCGGTAAGTGGTAAATCAGTCACAATAGGTGACTTATCAAAAACAAAGTTAGACAAACTATCAGCTTGGTACTGAAATCGTCCAGCCTTGCCGATCTCAGCTGAAAATTTTACCAGAAATTTGGCTGAAAGCAAAACGGCCTATGTACCAACATTCCCTGCCGATTGTGACATCTAATAATCAGCAAAAACAATCATCAGCTAAAAGAATTGTTTTAGCTCGTTGTCCTCAGCCCAATTTCAAGAAAGAAAAAAAAAGAATAGCCGATGTTAATTTCAAAAGGTTACTTAGAGCTCAGTTGAGAAAATCGGCTAAGGCAAAATCGGCTAAAAGAAAATTGACAAAGTCAAAATCATCTAAAAGAAAATCGGCAAAGACAAAATCGGCTGAAAGACTAGCGGCTACCGGGGGTTATGTGATTTTTAACCAGTGATACCCTCGGATTCCCGAATGCAAGTTGGCCAGGTCCATGCCCGAATACCCGAGGATATCAAAACAAATTGATAATAAACGAACACAGAGTACAAAAGAATAAAGAAGAATAAATAAAATGCTGACAAGAAACTAAAATGATAATCTAATAATAAACCTCAGAATATATTTCCATTAATTAATAAACTCTTCTGATACAACTGATCCTCTAAAATACAACTCGGGAATCCATACTGTGTGGACCCCTAGAAAATCCAAACTAAACAAATGACAGCAATAACTGTCTAATCAGGAAACTGAATCATAAAGGAACTCCTATGTAGCATCGGAAGAATGAAGTAGACTGATCCCCGCTCATCACGAACAACCTCTACTCCTGACGAACACCTGAAAAATAATGGTGGGTCAGGCCCACAAACAAGTTTTACTTACTACAGTCCAAGCAGAGATCCG